ATATAATTGTGCAGTTAATGTTACCTATGGTGAGTAAAATGGCGGCTCGTCTCTGATTCCAGCAAACAGAAGAAAGGAAACAGTGGGGATGCACGTTCTGTCCTAACCTAACCTATTTTAATAAATTACCATAATTATTACCAACCAAATTATTAGAATAGGTTAGGTTAGGTTTGAACGTGCGTCCCCACTGTTTCCTTTCTTCTCTTTGCTGGAATCAGAAACGAGCCGCCATTTTACCCACCATAGGTAACATTATCCAATTGTGCAGTCTAAAGATTGGTGACACTTTGAATTTCATAGCAGTTGGTTTCTGCGACAAGCACACCTATTTGTGGTACATTTATTTGTGGCAAAGATCTTATTTTCACTTTACCGAGTGCCTAGTAGGTAATGTGCGGATTACCTAAATACTCTGCACATTATCTAGGTAATTTGAGAAATGGAATAATTTTCACAACTTTAACGGATCACGCTAGGTAATCTGCAGATTAACGAGTTTCGAGCTTTAGCGGTAACATATATATAAATTTTAGTTTGTTTTATTACTTTTGTAATAAAACAAACTAAAATTTCTTAATATAAAAAAAATTTATTTAAAATTTCATAAAATAACCATTATTAAAAATTGTTATTTATATTAAATTATTAAGCACTTCAACATTTCACACTTTATACCTTTTCTAAAAATTCCCATGCAACACTTGAAAGAACATCTACTGGCCAAGTTGAAAACCAATCAATAGTAGTAGTATTTATTAAACCCGGGAAATTTTGGAAAATTTTTCTTAAAGTATTTCCTATAGGTGATATTCCAACAACAACATGAAGATTTGCTTTGAATCTTTTTTCCACAAACTGCCATATATTTTCATTTGTTATTCCATATTCAGTTACTTCTTCTTTAATCATACTTATAATTTTATCTTTTTCTTTCTTAGAAAATATTGTTGACATTGTTTCACAAGTTAACATATCATTAATTACTTTTAATATTTCTGTAAAAATGAATTAACTATAATACTGCTCTATATTTTAACTTCTATATGAACAAATATGCAATTTAATTAAATTTTTAAAATAGTTTATAAAAATAAATCTGTTTTTGTAATTTATTATAAAAATCTCATTATTTACTAAAATAATAAATTTACAAATAAATAATTATAAAATTTTTATTAATTTTTCAATTAAAAATTTATATATTACTAGCTACAAGGACCCGCTTCGCTGGGCAAAAAGTAACGATAGTGAAGATTAAGATAATTACATTAAAGCCAATCTTACCTGTTTTCACAGAATGCAAGAATTAGGTCCCCCGTTTCCAGACTAATTAGAGAATTTTTACAAGTCTAAAAATATGTTCGATTTTCCGCAAAAACGCAAAAATCCGCCTGTAAATCTTGCATGCCGCTTTATATTAACACTTCCTTTATTACTCAACACTTCCATTGTTGACACTTCCATTGTTACACATCTTCGAAGTCAACCACTTTCAACCCCATATGCAAGAATTAAGTCCCCTGTTTCCAGACTAATTAGAGAACTTTTACGTCCACTCAAACAAACTATTTTCAATTTGATCAATTTTCTGGAACATTTACAATCGTTCTATAATTGAACCAATTCAAATTCTAATACAGATTCAAATTTAAAACGGTTCGAACATTTTTAAAATCGAAATAGAAAATCTTCGAAGTCAACCACTTTAAGCCCTCATATCTCCCACACCCTTAAAGCTATTGAGACGCAACCACCATAGTGCACGAATGGAGATTTGGGGCTACTACCACATACAAACACCATTCATGTGCGATGTGTAGTTTTGGCTAAAAAGTGAAATATAGGGACACACACGTCCATTTTATATATATATATATAGATTTCTAAAAATAAGAATAGAACAGACATGCTGAATCTTGAATGTGTAACGCTTCATCACTATAATTAAGTAAAAATTCTTTTATGTAATCATAGTTTTTTCACAGTTTTTAATTAAAAATTTCCTTCTCACAGATGCAACTTGATTACTTGCACAATTTTTTTCATGTGATCACTGCAGAGTTCAAACACACAAAATCTGCTGGTTATCCACAAAATTAAAGAGTGAACATGCCAAAATCAAGACACTGAAACATTTTCCCACAAATAAAAAACCAATAGAAATTTAATCTTATTTATTTTAAGATGGCACATTACTATTGTAATTATAAAGCAGTCTATATATAATCTCTTTAAGTGACATCATACCCTGCTGAATGGACTTTATGATGAACACTAGTCATAAACTTATCATCATAATGTTGACATATTTTGTAATCATTATTCAAACATATAAATTATATAAAAAACTTTTTTCTAAATATTATATGTATTATTTGCATAATGTAACACTTATCTATCTCCCTTTTGTAAAGTGTAAGGACTGAAGAGGGGTTATTAATTAAGACCCGAAATGCATTTCCTACAATAAAACTTCTATAAAAAAAATGCTCCTTGTGTGACGTGTTACTGAAAAAGTCAATAGCTTTTAAGTCTTTAAAAATCTATAATAAAACAGTAAGGGAAAATTTAACTAATGGAAAAGGGGTTTGCCAAAAGTACATCATTGAACACAACAGGGAAGAATGGAGTCAAAAATGGCTGAAAAACTGTATGTACAATTAATGGATGGACCCTAAATTTGAGTGAGCAATAGCTCGGTAAGTTGTGAAATCACAGATTTTGTTACTCTTTGAAATCATTATATTTTCAAATTTTCAAAATCTAAACATTTAAAAAGAACAATTTTAAGTTAACAACTGCTACTTTACAACTGGTTAATATTAGACAATAAAAAAACACTGCATAAACCTAACAAATCAGTGAGAAAGTTATAAACAATGAGTGAAAACATTCACATGTTATAACTTTCTCTCTGGTTTTTTAGGATTATGCAGTGGTTTTTATAGAACAATTTTAAAGCACTAAGATTTGATTGATTAGTTTATATTTAAAAATAAGATCATTACTTTAAAGATGCATTTTATGCTGTGCAATTAGAGGCATGATACTATATAATATCAATCTACAACTTTGTGATAATATTTGTCCATTCTTTTAAAAAGGCAAAAGAAAGCACACAAAATAAAAAAAATAAATAAATAAATAAAAATAAGGTCTCTGATTTCTCTAATTCAAAGTTTAAGATTCAGATCTTAAACCTTGAATTAGAGAAATGTGATCTCAAAATTATTTTGACTCAAACACAAAATGTATTGAGTCTATAAGAGTTAAGTCAAGAGAAATATAAAATAGTGAAAATTTCAAGTTAAGAAAGTTTGATTTTCTAAACTTGAGAGTTGATGTTTAGAGTCTCTTGTATTAGACATTTTTATGCTGCATGTCAATTGTGAGTATGCTGACTTATGGGGGGAAACCGTTAATCCCTTGTCAGGGATGACCTAGAGGCTCTTGCATATGTGAGTGGTGATTTAGGAGGCAGAGAATACTAAAGTGCCTTACAAAACCATTTATTGGTTAAAAGTGCTTTTGCTTACATCAGATGTAAAGGAATCCAAATAATAGGAAGAATTCACAAGGTTCAGACTCTATCTATGTTGTAAGTCCTTTTGTTGGTAACGATATATAGCTCTGGGGCAGAAGCGACTTGTAGAAGGTCTGACTTATTTCTGGGATCCTTTTTAAGAAGGTGATGATGCAGGGTGGAAAAGACCACACGGGAGGAAAAATTACCACAATGATGAACGATGACCCCATGTCCTTTAACATGGAGTTTTTATACATTTTCCTGTTCCTAACTCTTCTTTCAATTGGTCGGGCTTCCCCTTCCTCACTCCCCGATTAGTCTCTCACCTGTCTCCAGGTGGAAATAGAGACCATTCAGGTCACAAGAAAAATCTGCTTGGGATTATTTATCTGACACCATTCTTCCTTCTCACTAAGGATGCACCAATAAAAAAAATGACTGCTTACTAATTAATCAGCCATGCATTATTGGCCAATACCAATTAATCGGCTGATTAGTGTTAATAATTTATTGCATTAATAGTGTGAGATCCTGGAATTAATTATACAGTTAATTATAATGTGGAAAAAACCCATTTTTCTCCACCTGGTATTTCCATCTCTCTTAGGTCAGGTAAACAAGAGACAATTGAATATCCTTGCAAAATCAACAATCTCTTCCTTTGTTTGGGAAAGTTTCTAAAACAAATCTCAACACTTAATTGTTGATGCAGGAAACTTCGTCATTGTTTAAAAAGCTGAAGTGTTTCTGTGTTTAACAGAAACAAAATATATTTCTTTAACCGCTGATATTTGGACAGCAACTACAAACAATTCTCCATTTTTAAGTATAACAGCCCACTGGTTGAAGGATGATTTTCAGCAGGAAAGAGCTGTTTTGCAAATTGTTTCCTTTGAAGGTTCCACACAGCTGCACAAATCAGTGAACAGATAAAAATTGTTCTTGAACTGTATAAGTTGACAAGTGATAAGATATTCTTAGTACTGAGAGATTCTGCAGCAAATATGGTAGCTGGAATTAGGAATTGCAACTTAAAAGCATTATCATACTTTATACACTGTAGCTGACGCTAAACGAATGCATATTTTCTGAACAAGGTGTGAAAACTATAGTCACAGTTAATAGAAATATTGTCACACATTTTAATCATGCTGCTGTAGCTGTAAGCAAATTGGAAGATTTGCAAGAAAAGTTAGGTTTGCAGAAACACAAATTAATTCAAGATGTTCCTACTCACTGGAATTCTACATACTACATGTTGAAACAGCAAAAAGTCCTTGCCACATATGCCAGTGTTTCTTAACAGGGGGGCCGCGGCCCCCTGGGAGTCCATAAGAAGTTTGCTGGAGGCCGCCAAATTATGCAAAATTTCCTTAAGAATATAATAAAAAGAAAATTGATGTATAACCAAATATTGTATTGAAAAGTGAAATAAGAAAGATAAAGTTTTCTTATTTAGTTTTTTATTTATTTCTTATTTTTTCCTACATACAACTTTATTAGTACAGAAGAAATAAATGTAAATATGCTACTTATACCGCACTATTTATTTCTTTTATTTCAAAGTAATTCTAATATGCTTGGAATTTTGGATACAAATTTGTGCAGAATATCCTCTCCAATTTTCAGCAGCAATGCAAAATTTGCCACCTTTCACTAGTAGATATTTTCGAATATTTTTTGTTTTTTCTATAAATTTTTAAATATTTCTTATTTTAATTTTTGTTAAAAATTAATGAGTTTTTGTTTAATTGTGGAGTTTGAATGTTATTTAAATAGATAATGAAATAATAAAGTTATGTTTTACATTTATTATATAAAAAAATAAAGCAATAATAAAAAAATCAATTTATTATAGATAATTTAACAAATATAAATTATTATTAAAAAATGGGGGTTGCAAAAAAAATTATGAAATATTTGGTGGGTCACGAGTATAAAAAGGTTAAGAACCACTGACATATGCTATAGATAATAAAATTCCTACTTTGAGCCCATATCAGTAATCTCTCATTGAAAAAATTTTTCTACTTTTAAAACTATTCAAAGAAATTACTGTGAAAGCCAGCAAATGAGAAACCACTTCATCTTCAATAATTCCCACAATAAAGACTCTGAAATTATTCTCATCAAAAGCAAAGATCAGTAGTTCCTTTAGTGGCATTAATACCATAATAGAAGAACTAGAAAATCCAATAAAAAAAGATTTTCAGCATATATAGAAAACAAGTCTTTATGCTTGTCATTTTTATTAGATTCAAAATGAAATTTCAAAAGAGGATATGGTAGAGGAAATAAAAATATGGACAATTGATAGCTTAGAAGATGTTGATAATTCAAAATCTCAATAAGAATTAAATTCTGAAGCTTCTACTTCTGGAGATAATCAAGATGGAGGTGAATCTCTAAGTTTTTCTGATTTATTTGATGAATTAGCTCAGGGATGGCCAACAGTTTTGCCCTAAGGCCGAATTGGACAGAAAACTTTTTTCACAGGCCGAACCAGAGGCTGCCCTTGGAAGATTCTGAGGTGGTGCGAGATCACATTGTGGTGTCACCCCGTAGAGACTAAATTGTACATAGAGATTACAGATACATTTTTCACATTATCATGCTTTATCAGCATTCTACGCTATAATAAGAGATTTGTATTGGAGGGTTAACTCTAAACGCACAGTGAGTTGTTGACTTTTTTTTTTTTAGGTGTTAGAATTTTTCACCAATCTATTCTGACTTAAGTATCTAATATTGAAAGATTAATCGTGGGCCACGAGCCACATAAATCCATTACACAGGCCACATCTGGCCCGTGGGCTATATGTTGGCCATGCCTGAATTAGCTTCTGGTAAACAAAAGAATGAAGAATAGCATGTTTTTAAAAAGAAAGAAAACAACGAAAGAAACAAACAAACATTTTGATCAAGGAATAGAAACATATTTACATTTGCCCCTTAAACAAAGACATAGTAACCTATTTTTGTGGTGGAGAAGTTCAAAAGAACTTTTTCCAAATTTGAGCAAAATAGTTATGAAATATTTATGTGTCCCAGCATCTTCCATTGAAAGTGAAAAAATTTCCAGCACTGGAGATAACATTTATGAGCTGGCAAGAAATAGGTTATGCCCTGAAAATGGTGAAATTCTCATGTTTTTGCATTACAGTTTAAGGGTTTTACACTTTGAATATTAAATTTTTATTTATTTTATATGTTTAAAGTTTAAACTTTAAAGAGAGAGTTTTGAATAGGTTATAATCCTGCCAATTGTGAGGTTCGTAGTGTAATATGCTTTTTGAATACGAAAAAAGTCCGCCCTATCAAAATTTACAGACAGATAATAACCGAGGTTTATGATAATGTGATGAATGAAGCTTCAGTTTAAAACAAACAGTAGGGATCGTTGTCCAGAGACATTGTGCTTCTTCAGGATAACGCACATCCACATGCTGTTGCATTGACGAAGAACTTGCTTCAGCAGTTAAGTGGGAAGTTTTTGAACATCCTTCTTATAACCCAGACTAGGCTCCAAGTGATTACATCTTTTCCCAAAATTGAAAGATTTTTTAGCTGGGAATCACTATGGAAGTGACAACGAACTGAAAGAGGCTGTTAATGACTGGTTCAAGAACTTGGAGGTAACTGAATGTGCAGAAGGCATAGGAAAGCTGATGATACGCTATGACAAATGTTTAAATTTGTATGGCAACTATGTAGAAATATAGCTAAGATATCATATGTGCTGTAAAATAAGTTTTGTTTCATTATCTTAAATAAAAATATTTAGAGAAACAAATGTTCTTTACTTTTAAAATGACCCTTGTATATAACAGAAATTTATTAGTTTTTATTACTAGCATTATACATAACATTCTAACAAAAATACCAAAATGCAAAGTTGGCTGACTATCAAAACTGATTAATCGGGGAAATGGCCGATACGGCCGATTACTGATTACTTACTGATTAATTGGTGCATCCTTACTTCTCACCATTGTATAATAGCAAAGGTGTCAAGGTCTGGATGGCATCACAGCATCACTGTCTCAACACAGGTAAACTTGACATCTTGCAGAATCAGTTGCTTCTCTGTGTCACATAAAAAATTTTTTTACAAAATTTGTATGCCCTTTCTAAGTTTGACCTATTTCTGGGGCCTCACACAACAGTTTGATATTCAGCAGAAAACTATTTTTAATATTATAATATAGTGTTTTATTTAACTTTTTAATGCATTTTTGTCTCCATTAAATAAAAATTATATATATATATA